TTCCTCAAATTGTAATCTAAAGAAAAAAAGCCAATAAAAACTCCAGCATTTGTCAGGGAGAATCTAAAATCCCAAATCATCATTCACAATTTGTTGTTAATTATAGTTTGAGATAAATCCACAGTTACTTCTAGGTTATGGATCCATCTCCCAAATGACAGTTTTGTCCTGAGAGGCCAGAAAAAAAGAGGCAATGCTTGAAAGTCACTGGAGACTAAAACTTCAATTTACATCTGATTTCCTGTTCTAGAAGAGTGAGATAAGATTACATTAAGGGAGAAAACTTGTTTTACGAAAGCCATTAAAATATAATTCAAGGAGACCTCAAACAAGCAGCCATGTTGATAACATACATTCCACTGTCATGTTTAAGACACAAAGGTCTCCATTTCTCTAAGGGAACTGCTTTTCCGGCATGACACACTCTCTCTCTTGCCTTGGAGCCAAGTAATTGGAACCCTAAATACACGGCGGAGCTTCTGTTGGAACCGGTTTCCAACAAAACAATACAAAAAGGGATTAATGCAGCTGTTGGTGAATCCCAGGAGGATGGCAAAAGGAAGTGCCAGGTCAATGACTGCTATAACTTCACAGCTATTAATGACACCCATCCAGGCCAGAGCATCCAGGAAGGTCAGAACATGGAAGGGAAGCCAACAAATGATGAACGCCAGAACAACAGCAGCTGCCATCTTCAGGACTTGGTCACGAGTTATTCTGTTCTTCCCATAGCTATTGGTCTTCAGTAGGTGTTTTCTGATTCCAAAATAGCATGTTGCTATGAATATTAAAGGAATAATAAAACCAAGGATATTTTTCATTAAGGCAATCCCAGCTGACCATTGGGCATATTTCTCAGGTGGGAAAGCCATAATGCAAGCATTCACTCCTAGATATTCAATGGTTCTGACATCTCGGAAATAAAATGTTGGCAAGGAGGACAGACAGGCCATACACCAAACAAGGGGAACTATATAAGATGCTTGCCAGGGATTTCTTCTCTGAGACAGAAAGGGGTAGATGACAGATTGGTACCTATCAACACTCATGCAGGTGATAAAAAAAATGCTTGCAAACATGTTTAGAGTCAGGAAAGAACCAAAAACTTTGCACATCACAGGTCCAAAGAGCCAGTCATATCTGTAAGAATAGTAAGTTGCCCAGAGAGGAAGAGTAGCCAAAAGCAGTAAGTCAGCCACAGCCAGATTGAAGATGTAAATGCTGGAAACCTTTTTAGGACCCTTTTGACAACAAAACAGCGTAACCACAATAGTATTGACAAGAAATCCAACCACAAAAATAATGTAGTAGAGAACAGGAATTGCATCTAAATGCTTATCTGATGGTTTATGTGAGCAATTAAAGGTAGACTCATTGCCAGAGATGTTCACATGTCTGACATGAAGACTGCTGGTGATGTTTTTGCTGATGGTGGCGAGGGTGAAGTTGTCCTTCATATTGAAATGTCAGCAGCTCCTAATTCTTAGGCCTTCTGTGGAAAAAAAAAAAGGAACTCTCAGAACACATACAGAATTTAGGACATCACTAAGTCATTAGCATTTTAAAAGTTTGTTGAAAGCAAGAAAGGTGGGTGATTATAGAAAACATTAGGAAATAGAAGCATGCCTGATGAAATAAGAATATTTTACTTTTTGAAGAAGAGAGACTTTTCTCAATAGGACCAAGAAGTTAAGGCATTCTAGCATCAGGACTGGAGATTTTGAACAAAACTACATCTTGCCCATCTTTTCTATTGTCAAAAGATTTAAAGAAAACTAGTATTTCCAAAGGTTAGCCAAAGTAAGAAATGTGAAACAAACAAGGAACTAAGAAATAAGAAGAATTAGCATTTCAAAAACACTTGAGCACATATCTCAGTCTGTATACTTTCTAGAAACCACACTGCTTGCCTGCTATTTCCTAGAGAAATGCCTTATTCAAGTAACTAATTACATACAAATCATTATATCTATGGAAAATGTAAGTAACATAAGCTATGGAAAAAATAAGTGTACAGAAGACTGAAAGAGAATATGCAAAAGGATGGGGGACTATGGTTAGTTTTTACTAATTAAAAATAACTCCTTTAGTTTTACTTTTCCATTGTTTTCACAATAATAATATAATATAATAATACAATTAAGTAGTTATGGAATATGTGCATATTTTTAAAGCTCCCATCACATTTTAATAGAGACTATTAGTTATACATATAGATATATATTTTAATCCATTTACAAGAAAATTCATTTTTCTTTAATTAGGAAAAGAAAAAGAAAAAAAATACCCAAATCTGACTTAGGGTCTAGTAGAAATAGTTTTATTGCTCAGTGAAATAAGAATTGAACATCAGTGATTAATCATGATATAATTGTATCATTTTTCCTTTGCCTAATATTTAGTTTAACACAACTAAGTAACATTGCTACATGGCTCTCAAATGTTATAATCAATGTTCATGTTCAGCTTTTCGTAATACTGTTGTTTTTTTTTTTCACTAGCAACCTTACTTTAAAACAAAAGAAAATTAGCTGAAGATAAACACAGTAAGGGAAAGACTGTTCCTTTAGGTAGCTTCAAAACACATGTAAATAAACTACTTAATGAAAATATAATTACCAAACACTCTCCTAATAAACAGCAAAGTTACCATTTTTGTCTAAAGCTTATTCTCTCATAATCTGGACCTACGAAATTAACATGAAAGAATGTAAAATAAACTCACTTGAAGACTTACTGGTTGTTGGAGTTTAAAATTTAGTTATGATAAATCAGCTTGCTTAGTTCCTAAGTGCACCCCTGTAAGAGAAACAGCAGTTAAATAATTTAGGAGTTTTGCAAAATACAATGTTAAAATACAGGAAAAAGGGAAAGTTCATCCATAAAAAATATTTTCATTTAATGTATGTTCTACTTTCCAAATAGAGTATATATAAATTCTGCAGACCTACCTTAAAAATTCAGGCTGAAGATTGCTTTTAATTCTGTGCTTATTCGTTCCCTTAGACTCGGGGATGTAATAGCACCAGATCTCTGGTTTCCTTCTTATATGTTCGGTCTGTCCACTGGGAGCCTTCAACCTACATAATTCTAGGGCTGACTTATGAACACTTGCCAGCTTTCCAGAGGTTTTTTTTTTTTTGGCTGCAAAACATTAATCTGAAATTCTCACTGTCTCCAATCATAACAGCTCATTCAAATAAATCTCAAACAAAAAAATGAAGTTTCCACAAATGTGTTAGAGAATTTTGAAGTCAGTGGCTTACTTTAAAAGAAGAATATAATTATTTGCAGAATTTTCTCTTTCTTCTACCCTGATACTGGCATTCTAAAACAAGTTAAGGAGTGGGGACTAGGGAATTTATTCTAGTTGCAGAGTCTTTGTCCACCAGCATTCATTATTTTTGAAATGTTTACCCTTGCTTATTAAAGAACAGCAGCAACTTTACTTGAACTGTAAAATTTCTAAAATTTCTCCCTTGCTTTAAGCAACTTTTGATGGCTTGTTGCTGGAGAGGCGGTGATTAAAGGGATATAATTTTCATGTCTTCAAAAAGAAGTATTAACATATAATGTCTCCTTTCATGGGTCGCTGTCATATTTGCGGTTTAAATCCAAAGCACACAAGGTGAAGAAGGATCAGGCAGCTACTGAAGCCTAGATCACTGTTTTCCTTTTTGTGGGAGTGGGGATGATTAACCTTACACAAGTAGAAGCAAGAGTGACAAAAGGAAGAAAGATAAGTACACACGATGGCAGTGATAATACCAGCTGACAATAAACTCTATGTGCCATTTAGTGCTTTTATACTCAGTAATTTAACAGAGAGGCAGTACAGCACACTGGTATGTACATGGCCTCTGGGACCCAACTACGTGGTTCACAAGCTCAGCTACCCCACTTACTAATCCTGTGACCTTGGCCAAGTTACTTTCCTTCTTCATGCCTCAGTTTTCTCATCTGAGAAATGGGGATGATGTTAATTACCAATATCATGGAGTTATGAAAATTAAATGAGCTTATATATTTTAAGTGCTTAAAACCATGCCTAGTACATGTAGGCGCGCTTATAAGCTATTACTATTACCTCCGTTTCGCAAATCAGGAAACTAGGGCTCACAGAGTTTACATAACTTTTCTGAAGCCTCAGAGCTATTAAATGAGGATGTTTGAATGTAAACAGAGGCACTCTAACGTCGGAGCCTGCACTCTGAACCTCCACACTACAGGAGTGAGCATTTAGCTGGTCCTTTAATCTCACCCTTTGTCCTGGCAAAAAGAAAACACGCACCATTTACAAAAAGTCCCTGCTGACCATTTATAAGCTGTTACAAAAGCACTAAAGAAGGAGGAGAGCGTTTGAAGGATGGTTACGTGGGAGAAAATATTTTTCTTAATTTTATTCCCAAAATGGAGACCACAGGTAGGTGAAATGTGTGACTAGTTTACTATAGTAAGTACAGAAAACCAGAGACCCCAGGACACTTATTTACATGGGTATAAAGGATTCCAGTTATTTCTCTGGATCATATTTTTCCGAGAGCAGTAAGAGTGCACCCACACGGGCTGCAGGTTGCAGGTAGATGGGGAGAGCAGGCTCTGAGGGAGTAGCTGGGGACCTAAGTAACAGATCCCGCAGAAGGAGTGCAGGGAAGAAGGGAGGGTGGGAGATGGGAGACCAAATTACAAATGACATGAGACAAAACAGATGGCTTTTGACATCAGTCTGTTTCTCCGCTAATTTTGAAGTTGATTCTGTAGCACACAGGCAGATGGGATGAGCAAGAAGAGGTCATGATCGCTTGAAAAACATAGTAAGATTCAAAGGTTTGCACAACACCATTTTAGCGTATCTTTCGATAGACTGATGAGCAAATGCTCCTAATATACAGCATTTTATTAAATCTCAAAGTATTTGCTTCCTATGCTCTGGACAGATTCAGGTTGAGACACTGTCCAAATGATGGAAAACTGATGCTTGGGAAACGAATGAGCGGGCACATATGGTTATCGGCAGGAGAGTTGAAATGGGAACTAGTTTCACTCTTTGTTTAAGCCTGGTTTCTCCCTCCATTTCGAATGTTTGTTTTTGCCACATACAGGGGAATTTTCCAGGCCAGGGCCTCCTGAGTGGTCACGATGGGTCAGATTCCCACCCTGCTCTATTTCTAGCCCCCTCTCATGCCCCTTGCAGAGAAATAGCCAGGAGGTGAGCTATAAACTTTTGAGGACAAACTGCAGGCTCGCCTCCGGGAGACCTAGCCTTGAACACCCCCGAGGAACAGGGGACCTTGTCTAGAGCTTTTTGTCCTTCATTACAGTAAGTTCTGACGTAAATAAAGTTTAAAGAGGCACACATTTCCCAGAAGATTAAAAGGACATTTACTCGGTTTCTTTATAATTTTAGGAGTAAAAATTTTCACAGGTCAAAGAAAAACTATGTAACTGCAGGGAAATAAGGGAAAAAAGCAAAAAAAAAAAAAAAGAAGAAAGGAGAAAGAGAAAACAATATTGACACCACTTGAAGCAAGAAACACAGCATATTATTGATTCAGCAAAGAACTTCAAGTTAAACCGACAATGTAAATACACTTGAGAGTCAAATAAACGTCAGTCATGGGAAGCAATAAGACACAAAAATTCACTCTCCTGGAGGCAGGGGGTAATTTTTCTACTGGAAGATTGACTTTAAAAGCCTCAGGTCGTTTGAATAAATCATGCAGCTCTTCAGGACAAGTGCAGCTTGGCTAGCAGAATTAAACAATGGTAAACACATTGAATTAATCTTTTCTGATGAATACCTATTATTTATTGTGAGATTACTTAACAGTAACATTTAAATAGGTTTAAAAAAAAGATGTTCTTGAGAGGAATTTCTCCTCTGCTAAAAATATCAGAAAAAAATCTTATGTGTCCCTCTCACCTGCACTCACACATGTAGATGATGCTTTGACAGAGAAAAGAAATGATTAAATGCAAAAGTCTGGATGTAAGTGCCCTGGTTATAAAGGTGAGGATTAGAGGTGCAGATCATGGAATGAGTAAGTGTATAGGGGCATTCCTTTTTAGTTTAATTTAGTCAGAATCATTTTAATTTCCCCCACCCTAGCTACCTCTCTGAGTTCCCATTCAGAACAATAACATTTCCAGTTTCTCCAGCCTGGAAGCACGCACACATACATACACACTTGAGCGTCGGCCCCGCTTCCCCCACCCTTGCCCACATAGATACTTCACACCAATCTTTCTTCAATTCAGTTAACCATAGGGAAGCCTTACTTTAATTGCCACTGGACTTTTCCAAACCTGAGAGTCCCTGAAAGGAGAATAGTTAAGAAGATTGCCATGTTGATTCGTCTTTGCAGATTCTTTTTGCGCTGTTCATTAGATTCCAATATAATGAGAACAGCAATGTCAGGATGGAAGCAAGTGAGAGAAAAACAATCAGGTCTTCTATTCAGAGTTAACAATCAGGTTGACCGTGTTGTAGAAACTAGCCTAAAAATTCAGTAAAATGGCCAATATGAGTGGTTATTTGTATCAAATGAACTGACTGCCTAGGCATCACATAGAGAATGACTGAGAGGACTATTAAATCAGTTAACATGCAGTGAAATGAGTGGATGTCTGACTCAGTTCATTCCTGAAACCAGTTGCTTCCAGCAGAATCTTGTCCCAAGAACATTAGGAGAAGAAAGAGTTCCGATTTCCCGTTGCCCCAAAGGCATCTGTAGGCCTGAGCATCAGGTTCCGGCCAGAATCTCGCCAAAGGCACCCTAGTTCTACCAAATAGCATCTCAGTGTATGTAACCCAACTGTTGGGAAAATAAAAAATAAAAATAAAAAATTGCCTTTATTCTTGGTTCACGTTCAAAATACCAGCTAACTGATGTGACATTGTCTCTTAGCTCA